ACGAAGTGGGAGCGCCCTCAAGAACGCTGGAAACTCCGGCGGGAGAGACACCGGCGGGTCAGTCCTACCGGGAGAGTAAGAGCGCGGGGAGGAGGGACGCGGAAGGAGAGCAGCACTGGCTGCGGGAATCCGGGGAGGCTGGGTTCGCTGGATTCAGAGGGTGGAAAGACAGCACGGAACCGAGGCCAGCGGGCCAGACCTCACTCCTCCATCCTCAACACAAAAATGACCCTATGAGTGAAGCAAGGTCGCGCCTTCTGGCCTTCGGAGCGCCAAGCCTCGGCTTAATGGACAGATGATGGGCCAGCCGGGCCACCTTCTGAGACTTCCAGCGCCCAGGGAGTCACTGTCTCGCCATCAGGCCGCCGGCCCTAGCGGCGAGGGCGAGCGAGCTGGGAGTCTCTCTGGACGCTCAGAGAGAGAAGGCGGGGCAAAGCCAAACTTGCAAGCTAAGCCTGCAATCTGGAAACCTTTTTCAATCGGGAGCCCTGGCATTAGGGGAATGGTTCCTTCTACATCTCTTCTGCTATGATATCTGAATAGGCGCCCCCTCCAGGACCACGTAGAAGAGATGTCCTCTTCCACAATGAATTTAAAAACCCAAAGCAAATAGTGCCTCCGTGAAGCCGCCTGGGTTCCCCTGTTCCATTCTATTCCCAGCACAGGCACTTTTCTACTTATCAATGTTATATGAATTATAACGGACCAGAACTAGGTTCTTCCTCCTCACAGAAGTATCAGTAAATGCCTGTCAAACGCTTGCTTTTGGGGACTGGATCTTTACACCCCCAAATTATAAGTGTCACGCAAGGCGCACTAGTCTATATATTTGGGTTAATCCAACATTTATTAGAGGGAGCCTGCTCCCTATTAGGACAGCAGACCTAGGAATCCATCTTCTTTTACGAAGTGGAGCTTCAAGAAATTCTAGGCTGCTTCTGTCATATAAAGCTGATCACCCTAGCCTGAGCTCCAGCCGACTTCTTAAAAGAAATCTGCATTTAGTAGATGCTTCCTCCCTCAGAGTGGGGTTCCGAGAATTAGGCAATAAATGTTCACTATGCACTCTGAGATCATTGCTTAAAAGGGTTTCTCTCTGCCAAGTATTATTAGAAGGATCGGGTTACATGATAGGCAAAGACTGTGTTGTAGGGCACCCATGAAAGAAATTAAAGACTTTAGGAGGCTTTGGGAAACCCTTCTAATCTAATAGGCCACACTCCATAAAGTTAAACTGTTCCATCTCAGTTTGATGTTTTCTACAACCATCAGTCACAAGTATAAAAGTGAGGAGAAAACAATGCATGTGTTACTTTGAAAAATTGAAAACCATTCAAATATATAGAAACAAGTTCTTAAAAATTGAAAACCATTCAAATATATAGAAACAAGTTCTTAAAACACCTTAGGGTTCAAGACCAAAGTTCTTCCCTTGTTGAGTGGGATCTTTCGTTGTTTCAAACCAATGTAAATAGATTGAGAGACTCTAGGGAAACAAAGCAGATTTGAAATTAAGGGGCTATAAATTTTAAAGTTTACCTTTTCACTTTTGGTCTCAGTTGATCCATTCAAACAGGAAAAAGACTTGTCATTTTGCATGGTTTGAAGATTTTGAAAATTAAGGTCATGTCAAAAAAAAAAAAATCTAGCATCATGTCACATTCCCTTAGCCATAGCATTTTAGAAAGATGAGCAGTCAACAGATGCTGTTTTGGTAAAGATGAACTGATAACTGTCTGCTTCCTTTCTCACTACTGCATCTTTTTCTAACATAGTTTTAGTGCTATTCTAAAATTCACCTAAATGTCAGTTAATGTGAATCTTTATAAATACACACACACTCCCATCACTGAGCTTCCACTTAGTAGTAGAGTTAGATCTAGGAACACAGACAGGAATTAAATGCTACTTGGGAAAAAAAACATGCTATTACTTCTAAAATACTACTTTAAAAGGAATCCTTAGACATTTCAAATCCATTCATCCTTTGGCCTACAAATGTAAACTCCCATGCACGGGGGAGGAAGAGTATAAGCTCTGGAGTCAGAAGTCCAGCTCTAAGAGAGAGTTCTATTCCATTCCAGCTGTGTGTGACCACTAATCCTCAATTCACTTATATGTAAACTGGGGATAATAGTTGGCTCACAGAATCTGAAAAGCAGATTAGAGATAGAGCCTAGTGAAGTACTTGGTTTCAATATGTAGGGTTTTTTTAGTGTGTATATAATAGATATATTTAAAAAATATGTGAGACCGCCATATTTGTTAGAACATATCAGATTATGGTAAAGAGGACAAATGAGAATGTGTGATTAAAATCACATCCTGCACAGATTATTCCCTTCAACTGAGGAATGTCACAGGCCTAATTTATGAAATATTGTTTTGAAGAGGATGGAACAGTTTCTGAAGCAGCTGGGAAACACTCTGGTCCAACATAGACACTCTCACCCTGGGAAGGCTTTAGTTAAATCAGGATTTCCATGGCATAGTACCAGTATAGATTTGGATTAAAAACTGACACATTCATGATAAAGAAGTTACAGACAGAATAAGAGTGAGGCTTATCCCCAAATTTACTCTATTAGTTCAGAAATTTTTAGATTTCTACATTTAATAAAATTTCATATAACTACATTGTCAAAGATATCTAAACTGCTAAAATCTCGGAAAGTATCCATTAGCTTTAACCATGTCATAAAGATAATGTACAAATACTTACTGGAAAATATATAAGCCAAAACAAAAACTGTTTTATATTAGCTTTTCAAAAATTTTATTTTGGCTCTTATACTTCTAAAGTGGAGGGCATGATTCTCTAAATTATAAAAGTGATTTGTTATACTTTCTTATAGTTTTGTTGAATCCTTAGAATCTGTTATAACAGGGGTCAGCAATTTTTTTCTGTGAAGGGACAACTCGTAAATATTTTAGGCTTTGTGGACAACATGGTCTCTGTCACAACTCTTTAACTCTGCCATTGCAGTGCAAAAGCAGCCAGAGATAATATGTAAACAATGAGTATAGCTGTGTTCTAATAAGACTATTTAGAAACATTTAATTTTGAATTTCATGTATTTTCCTGTGTTATGAACTAGATTTAGGGTTTTTAAAAACCATAAAAACCGTTTTTAGTTCACAGGCCTTTCATAAAAACAGGTGCAGGCCAGATTTGGTCCATGGGCCATAGTCTGTCAACCCCTATTATCATAAGATCGATTAAAAATGATGTTTGTCTGGTCTTTATAGGCTAATTCAATAGCTGAGACAACATCATGGGTTAAGAGTGCTTATGACAGCCTTTATTCAATTCACATAGAAAAGCATGCAGTATTAATGTAAAACAGTACAGTATTAATGTAAAATTGTTCAGTGCACATTAGATAAACAAGTCATTGACATACAAACCATTTTTAAAAGCCTACATAGGCCTACCAAACATGTTTAGAATATACATTTTCATAGCCTAAATTAAAAATTGTGCTTAGCTGACCTGATCTCACCCACTTTTCATGAAAAAAAAAAAATTTGTCCTACATAAAAGGTATTCTATTAGCCAACTGAAACTTCTTTTTCTTAAGAAAAAAATAGTGCAAGCAAGAACGCTACCATGCATAGAGTTTTCACAGAGAACAGAACATGCAAAGAGGAACATCATTGCTCCAAAAAGCTTCCCTGGGATGTAAGTGGATCAAGAACTTGTCGGTGAGTGCTTTTGCACCTCTAAGTCTGGAACAATGAAGCTACCATTTTAGGCTCCTCTAAACCCAACTGTTCCATGCCTTTTTTTTTTCTTCCCCCCAAAACAAGCTCAATTTCTGATCTTCAACATGCACACAAAGATGAGCAAATGAAAGTTCTCTGACATAAAACAAATATTTTCAAATAGAAATGTATTCTTTCATACTAGCAAAAAATATTTTTTACAAAAATTGAACAAAACACAGTATTAAAAATGCAAACATACATGTAAAACCTAAAAAAAAAAAAAGTAAATGAATATTGGTATAGGGTTAGAGTGCTAATTTTCCATCATGGCCTAGGCCACCACTAAACATAAATTAAAGGGGGCAGGCAAAATAACACCCACCCTAGGGAAAGCTTTAAAGAAACTCAAGTGTCTTATGAGCAGTGTGTAGACAAAACTTAAAGTTTTACTTAAGGAATCCAAGTTCTATTAAAGGCTCATTAATAGGCCATTATAGCTAACAGTTAAATCAAGATTCAAAATATAATATATCAAATCCAGACACATACACTATTCATTAAAAAGAAACCATCTCTTTACCTTTTCTGGTAAAAAAGATTCCCAAATGAAAAAAAAAAAAGAACAAACTGCTCAAAATGGACAAAAGTATTCTGATACAGGCTAATCCACATTCTGACTTGACACTTGACTAAAAGATTACCAATTCAAAATCATATAGAACATTTATAAGCGGGGAAAAAAGTACTTTAAAAACTTATATTCCTTTCAGGACAAAAACATAAATGACAGCTTTCTAATGAGTCAACTTTTAGTTGCTTTTGATGGGCTGGCATTGGAAAGGCTGCTCTGGATTTTTCTTTTTGTTGATTGATTCACATTTTTATTCCTCTTTTCAGGCACAAAAGAAGTAGACCAAGGAGACTGAAGGTGGTTATGAAGACCATGCATCTCTGAGGACATCTTAAACAAAGATGACTCAAATCTTTGATCTTCAAATAGCCGGTGTGAACTGCTTAACAAAACACTCTGAGAAAACTCAGTCTGAAACAAACAGCTTGGGGGTTTGATTTCAGTCGTTCCTGAGTCAGAACTGGGATGAAGTGAAAAATCTTCATTCATTTCCTGGTCAGATGGAGAGAGGAAAAAATAAGAAGTGGGTTTCCATTCATTTCCATTTTCTAACTGACCAGTAGTTAGAGAACCTTTGGAAAGGTCTGGCTTAGTTCTTTCTTCCAACTCATCTGGTTCCTCAAGAAATTCACTGCCTTGAGATGACTTTGATAACCCATCCAAATCCACTGACTTAAAACCGTTATTACAAGGGCTCTTGCTATTGTCTGATTCCGACATCATAGAATCTAGCTCAGAAATTTTGTCAAGATAAGCTGCATCCATTGAGGCTTCACTGGATGTTCTTGTCCGATTCATTTCAAAAGAGCGAATAGAATTCAACCTTTTGGATAAACATGAGCCTGATTTCTCACTGAATTTTGAAGAAATTTCTCCAACAGAATTTGCTATCAGGTTCCCCTCTGAGTTTTCAAAATCTAAGCTTTGGGCATAGCTTGTGGAACAACAATCCCAAAACCCTGTCTTTGGGGAAGGAAAACATTCCGATTTCTTTTCATTTTCACTTCTGCCGTCTTCTGAAGATTCTTTATTACAAACATTTGGAGAATCACAAAAATCATCAAACACCAATTTTCTGAGATGGTTTGAGTGATTTTTGGAGCATCCTGCTTTTCCCACAGAGTTCTCTCTATTTTCTGGAGTACTGAGCTGAAGGCAACTAAGGGACAAAGGAGTACAAGGAGCTGGAAGGTCATATAGTTCTTCGGCTTTATAGGGTGCACAATCACTTGGCTTATTACCCCATTCTCTTTCTAAGTAAGTATCCATACTTGTATCTGTCACATCTAACATTATTTCCACTTGTTTTTGATATAGGTCTTTATTCTTAGAACAATTTGGTTCTGTTTTGCTGGTGCTTTCCTGCCGGGCAGAACTGTTAGAAGGCTGTGCCAGGTGAGAACTCGAGGTGGCTGAGCAAAGCTGCTTTCTGGCACCATCACCTTGATTCTTTGAAGGCATATCTTCCTTGCTGCCTTTGCTCCCCTTGTCATCAGTAGAAAGCGTGTTCTGGCAAATGGAATTCATTGCTTCCTTCTCTTCACTTGAATTTTTTAGCTGTGCAATTTGAGATTCTAGTTCCTCTATATACTTATCACTTCGTTCTAGGGCTTTCTTGAGGCGATTGGTTTCACGTTCATACTGTTCTACTTTGGACTGAAGAGCAGCTATTGTAAACCTTCCAAATCTGCAAGAAATGGAGGGACAGTTAACTACATAGTTCAAGCTTTTTTCTTTCCTTTTCCAAGTCTAAGAGTACCAACTATCTCAGTCTGTTCTAATTTCACATGATAGTGACATTTCAGACTACTCAATGCAGAGGACAAAAGCAATACCAGATGTAGTATCTTCAAAAAAAGGGTTCTCTCACTATGTAACAATACGCATATGATAATAATGCCAAAGATCTAACAGAATACTTTTGTGGTCAAATTGGTCTAGTGGTAGCAGAGAGGCAGAAACTCACTGACGAGTTCCCTTCCAAGAGCTAGCTCTATCAATTCAGCTCATATATGCATGAAGAGTTATCTCCTAAAACAATGGCAAAGATTTATGATAACATTTGAACAGTGGTCCACATCTTGAAATATTTACATTCAATCATTTTCCTATCATACAGCAGTGTTTTATAATACATTTCTTATACAGTGTCACCTTGTCAAACATAAAATGCCAATTTGAAATTCAGAAATCTTAGCGTCCCAGCAGGGGTGGTTTTAAATACTTATTTGGTACCTTCCAATTATAGCCACCCTCGATCTGAAGCTTTTACTTGGCTTTTCTGAACACTGGGCTTTAATTCATTTCAGTTCTACTTATTTTTGGCATTTTATAACTGTATGAAACATCAATCTCATTCACTCTAACTCTGAAATACAAAGTCAGCGCTTGTGGTTCCAATATTTTGCACATAAAAAACATTTTCACATTTCTGAAAAGGAATATTTTGGAGAGTAACTGAAAAAGAACACATCAAAAATTTACCCCTTTTACTTGAGATTATTTTATTTTCATTATTCCCTGAAGAATGGGTATTGGTTCAGCCAAAAAAACAATTTGTGAGCACCTGGTATGGCCTGGTGGTATATCCAGAGCTGGGGATACAAAGATCCATAAGACTGTCCCAGCTTCAGGGGATATAAAACGTCTACTTCAAATTCCATCTGACCACCAAGGAAAATTCCATTTTTCAGGAAATTGCTTTCAATGAGCCAATAAAAATAAGCCTTACATTCTAATCTCATGAAAAATAATTTCTCTCCACAAAAGTTCTCTTAAAAAGCCTTTTCTTATTCATTTTTTTATGAAATATTGACCCATCTTGAAGAATTCACGGGTTGTCTCTTTGAATGAAGGTACCTGAGAAGGCGACTTCTTAAAATTGTTATATCTATAGGTTTATCTTTTTCTTCTCCTAATAATAAAAATAATAACAATTAATAAAATATGCCTAGTATTTAAAAAAAACTATAAAGGAGAAGGAACCAATAATAACTGTGCTATATGTTTTATGACTTCCACTCGATACCCATCACCTCCTCCTAAATTGTAGCCCAATTCACTCTCCATCTTACTCCTGACATGATCCCAGCTCTTGTCACTAAGGGAAAAAAGCAGGGGCAAAGGTAAATATAGATTCATAAAATCTCAGGGTTAGAAAGGGCCTTAAAAGACTCGTTGCCAAATATTGATCTACTCACTGCAATTAACTGAACTTTCAGAAAGAGCATTATCCCTTCAACCTCTAAAAAGCAAAACAAAAAACCAAAGGTATAACAAAAACAAAAGCAACTATAATAAAATTTGTTGTTTCTTAAGTGCTGTTTTTATAATAAAGATATCCTCAGATGAAAAATATCAAACAATTTAAAATTAAATAATGTTACTAGAAAGTAAGTCTGTTACCAAAGGATGTCCTTGGGAACTCAGAGGCTTTCATAAGGAAAGACTAGTGGGAAACACATAACATTTCCCAAAATATTAGTAGCTTCTTACTCATTTTTAGCCTGGAATTTCAAACATAATGTCATTTAAAGATGCTATATTTGCCCCACATGTTTTTTTTAAATTATTTTTTAAAAGAAGTAAGTTAACAAATGGTTCTGAGTTGAAGTCAAAATGATAGCTCTAATCATTTTTTGTGTGTGTGTTATTTCCAAGAGAAAGCTGAAGTTCCCTGAGAACTAACAACAAAGGCCAGAAACAGAGCACATGTGAGAGGAACAAGCAAGCAGAAGTCACTGATAGAGTTGTCTATTTTCTAAAAGGTCACTGCCCTCAATTCCCCAAAGTTCCATTTCAATACTTTACAAGTCTATAATACTTTGAGTGATCAGAACAGGCTAGTAAGGCAGTGGGCTGAGAGGCAAACAAACAGAAATGTATAGTGAAAGCCATGGAACTGATCAATTAATTAATCAAGCCACATAATTTATTTTCTGTCTCTTTCTTCCCCATTAGAGTATAAGCTCCAGGAAAGCAAGGAGTTTGACTATCTTTTATCTATTACTAGCTCTCTAGAACAATTCCTGGTATTCAGCAGTCTCTCAATAAATATTTCTTGAATAAATGATATTTTCTTACTTTAAGATACATCAATGCTTTACATCAAGACATGGCCAACACCAAAGGATAAGCCAAAGGTCCTTGGGCATCTTTTACATGTGAGTATTATGATTTACTATATTACAAAACTAAATGTTTCATACATTTGACTGTTTCTTTTTTTTTTTTCCTACTGACACCAAGGAAAGCAATAGAGAATGACAGATATACAGATAGTTTTTTTACTATAGGTTTGCCATTCTACACTGTTCCATCCAAAAAAACTTCCGCTTTCACCTTTGCAAAAGAATGCAAACAGATGAGACTTTTGACATAGGTATTAGGGATTTTAAGCTTACCCTAGATACCTGTATTAAATTTGGCAAATGGAAATTTACTTGATCATATGGAAATAACAATTAGGGATGCATATCTAATGCTATACTTCCATGGAAGAAGATAAATAAGATAAGAGCTTATTCAGCTTTGGGTTTTAATACTCTTATTCACACTAATTCCAGAAATTTCCAGAGTACATATCATTAAATGAATCAATGCCAAGGCAAGCCGGAGGGACTTCTAACATCATTTACTATACTTCCTTTTCCTGAGCAAATTTCAAAATGGAGTATTTTCATAAACATCCATTAGAGACCAAAGGCTTTGATTTTCAAAATAGCAGTGATGGCCAAAGGCTTCATTTTGTCAGAGAAAACAGCACAGAGCAGTATGGGAGCTGCAACTGATATGGGAAGTGTGTTCTGCTGGAATCTAAGAGAAGCTTAAAGGATTTTTGATCTTTCAATGTTAACTGATATGTACATTCTAGTTTAGGGCTCCCCTTGTCCAAAAAGCTACAGAAGTACAAGACTATTCCTATCCCTATTAGAAGAGAAATGAAAGTCCTATTGGTTTGACTTTTGAGGTACTGTAACTATTGTAAGGGCACCTCCAACAAAGGAAAGCTTCCAAGATCACATTTTCTCAAGGCCATCCCTTAAGAGGAACAGAATGTATGTTTGAAGGGGGTCAGAAGAAAGCAACTATGGTAAAGAATAAATACCAGAACCAAGTGTCAATGGAACTAACCTCCAGTGCTATGCCGCCATTAACTAGTTGTGAAAACTCGAACAATTTATTTTGCTCTCTAGTTCTCAATGGCATCCCCAACAGAAGGGATAAATGCAGCACGCCCAGCAGGTTCCTGAGACCACCAAACTTAAAAAATATCATCTTGAGGAACAAGGGGGACAGTGGTGAAGTGAGCTCACCTGACTCCCATGTATCTTTGATTTTTTATCTTTTCTTTACTTGCTAGTTGAAGTAACAGTGAAACAAAATGAAAACAATCTTTGGATCTGGCCTACCTGACAGATTTTCAATTTGATGTCCTTGTTGTACACGGTTCTGATATGCTCGAATTTTAGTTACCACAGTTTAATTAAATAACACCAGTCAATTAACAACATGGTTCAGACTTATCACATTATATGAACTGTGAGTAAATGCATAAGGTAAAAACTTCACTGCTAGTTTTAATTCACAAAACACTGTATAAGTAACAGATGTGCAACACGATCAGTGGCCAATCGGGTCATTTCTTTCAAAGTCTGAAAGTGTCCAGTCGTTGAGCATCTATTATTCAGTTCACACATAGACAGTAAGACATGTAGTTGTGCTGCCACGTGACATTTTACAAAAAGGCATAATCAAAAGACAATTACCCAACAAAGATAAAGGTGCAACGAAGATAAAAAGTTGATTGTTAGAAATAAAATTACAATCAAATGTAAATGTAGTTATAGAAGAACAGCTGACCATGGGGATGTTGAAATTGTCATCATTCAAGGGACCTCTGTTAGTCAGAGGCAAACTACTGACATAAATGAGAAAAGTGGTTGTGACGAAAAGGATAAAGATGTCTAGAGGAAATGACAGACTGGCAAAAAACTTCACATTGCAGCAATATAGAGATACTTCATGACATCGAAAGCACAAAAGATAAAATGCTGGAATGGGAATGATGCAAACTTAGGAGTATGACAGTTTGTTAAGGCGTCAGAAAATATGCTAGCTTTGTATCATAAATTATATGATAAAGTGGCAAGCACTATTCGGATTATTCTATACAAGTTTTTTACAAGAAATAAAACATTTTAATTCTAAATGTTTCTAATGTTTTAAACTGTACTATATAAATACTAGTGTACTAAATACTAGTTTCACTATTTTTTTCATTTTCATATACATTTATAACAGTAAGAGATTTAATGTTTTGATAAAAATTGTTCAAGGTTACAGAACAATTCAATTGTTTCTATTGATTATTATGGATCCTTTGTATGGTTTTTGCTTGAATGATCATTTTTATGGTCCCATATAACCATGCAAGGTGAGGCTTACCAATATTAGTATATGTCCTGCCAAAAGGGGGCAAAGGATGACCTATATACTAAAGTAATGGCTGGTATGTGAGAAAACTAAGTAAACTTATGTGTCTCAAAAAAATTTTTTTGAAGAATTACCACATTTACCCTAAGAAGGACTCTTTCATAGAGTGTATTTTATTGTAGAGTTATCTGTCTACTTAGCTGTAGTTGTATATCTTCTCATTCCCTTTCAGAGATAGTAGGAAAGTTATCT